GTAGAGTTCATCTAAATCAGCTCTGGAGTTTATCTGATTCAGGATAATTCTCTGGATTTGCTTCTGGATTTGTTTTCTCCACGTTCTTTTGTTGCATATTTTTGAAGCAGCAGCACATTGACACAGTCCCATCTTGCCCCTGATCACAAATATAAACCAGCAAAGATATTTTTAACCCTGTTTAATATAAAAAAGCTTAATGTGCAGGACGAGAGAGCCCTGGGGGGCTCTCAGGCTACGAGGAGTTTAGCCTGTGCAGACACTTGGACTGTGTAAATGTTGGCATTATGCAAATATTTATTGCTGTTAAAAATTGATAAAACCAATTTAAAGCTTCCCCACAGTCCAGTGCTGAGGATTTCCAAGATCATCTTCTACTCAGGGTAAATATCATCTTGTGAACAAACACAAATGAGCATCAGAAGGTCAAGAAAACAAGATGAGAGCAGGGAAAGAACTGAGGGAACTGCTCTAAAAAGCCAGGGAGGGAACAAACACTGAGTTTAGAGAGGGAGGAATTTATAGTGTTTATCAACAAGCTCTGAAAGTTTAGAGTGTCCAACTCAATCCTGCAAATCCCCTGGCAGGGTGCAAAAATAATGGAGAAGGAAATGTACTTATGGTGAATAATGAATTTAATACAACCCCCCAAAATTAATAAAATATGAGCATTGCTCTTAAAAAATTTCCAGTGCCTTCATTTTCACACCAGAGAAAGGTATTTTTCAACAGATGCTTTTTTGGCACTTGATCAAAATGAGAAGCATCTCCCATTTCCTGAACTTGGATTACTGAGCACCACAGCTCAGTGCTAATGAAGATGAAATTCAAATGCCATCTAAAGAAGCAATTAATGAAAATAATTGAATTTTTTTTTCCCCTTCCTCCAAAGTGTTATTGTATCAAGCTCACTCTTGCTTGTCCTCAGGCCCAGACTTCCTAGTGATTTACAGAGGATTTTCCAGTCTCAGTCGTAATTGTTAATGCTGTGAACTACTTATAACCTCCATTTCAGAAGCCTATTAATTTTTGGAAAACACACAAGGAACTGCAGGCACAAATCATCACCATTTCACCTTTTCACCGGCACGTTCAAAAATCAGCTCGATTAGAGCCAAATGATGAGGAGTCAGGATGACATTTCCTCCTCTTCCTGCACATCAATCAGGGCAGGATACCAGGAGAGCACTTCCAGGTGCCACTTCCAGGGTTTTTTTGGAGGTTTTTTAGGAGAGGGAAGGTTGTTTCTTCTTCGAAATGAGGTGAGAACAACATAATAATTCACTCCCGTGGCCTGATTTGAACCTGGGGTTGGTTCTGAAGCTTGGCAGGAACCCTTCGCTCCAAAACAACTCTGCAACTGCAGCTGAAGGCCAGGAAAGAAAAAAAGAAAGCCCACATGTGGTGGCTCTGATATTTTAATCAACTTTTTGTTCCTCTGCTGATCTTCTCTCCTAGAGATTACGAGGATTTTCTGGAACAAACACCAAGTATTTTTAGACCCTCGTTTCACAAAGGAGAGGGAGCCCAGCAGAAGGTTAATTCTGGACGTGGTTACGCAGCCACTTGGAACAAGTAGGGCCCAAGGGGAACCATTAGTTTTTTTCCATGGATAATTTGGGATTATTTTCCTAATTTCAGTTAAAGGAATAAAACCCATAAGGTGGTGGTGTCACTGTGGGACTCAAGCACAGGAATGCAGGAGTTACAGTGGGGCCTGGTGTGAAATGTTGATTGTTCACCACCATCCACAGACTGGTGTCACCAGAGGGATGAGCCAAATTCCTGTCACCCCTTGGAAGAAGGGATATTTTTACATGTGTCAAGTGCTGGAGAGAGACATCTGACAAGGACATGGAGTGACAGGGCACAGGGAATGGCTTCACATGGACAGAGGGCAGGGATAGGTGGGATACTGGGAAGGAATTGTTGGCTGTGAGGGTGGGGAGGCCCTGGCACAGGTTGGGCAGAGAAGCTGTGGCTGCCCCATGCCTGGAAGTGTCCAGGGCCAGGCTGGATGAGGCTTGGAGCAACCTGGGCTAGTGGAAGGTGTCCCTGCCCATGGCAGGTTGGAACTGGAAGGTCTTTAAGTTCCCTTCCAACCCAAACCATTCTGAGATTCCAAGTTTCCACAAGGCTGTCTGATCCTTTGCTGTTGCTTCTCAACACGTAACAAATAGTTTCAAAATTAAAATATTAAGGTACATAAAGACATATATTTGTCTATTGAGATCCATGTGTATCCATATACATTTGTCTATTGAGATCCATGTGTATCCATATATATTTGTATATTGAGATCCACGTGTATCCATACATTTGTATATTTAGATTCATGTGTATCCATATCCATTCGCCTATTGAGATCCACGTGTATCCATATACATTTGTATATTGAGATCCATGTGTATCCATATCCACTTGTATATTGAGATCCTTGTGTATCCAGATATATTTGTATATTGACATCCACATGTATCCATACACATTTGTATACTGACATCCATGTGAATCCATACACATTTGTATATTTAGATCCATGTGTATCCATATCCATTTGTATATTGAGATCCACGTGAATCCACATATATTTGTGTATTGAGATCCACATGTATCCATATACATTTGTATACTGAGATCCATGTGTATCCATATCTATTTGTATATTGAGATCCATGTGTTTCTGTGTGTATGCATATATATTTGTATATTTAGATCCACGTGTATCCATATATATTTGTATACTGAGATCCATGTGTATCCATATATATTTGTATATTGAGATCCATGTGTGTCCATACACATTTGTATATTGAGATCCATGTATATCCATACACATCTGTATATTTAGATCCATGTATATCCATACACATTTGTATATTGAGATCCACATGTATCCATACACATTTGTATATTGAGATCCATGTGTATCCAATATATTTGTATATTTAGATCCATGTGTATCCATACACATTTGTATATTTAGATCCATGTGTATCCATACACATTTGTATACTGAGATCCTCCTGTCTCCAACATGAATTGGCTTTTCCCTTCTATCAGCACTGACACACTGCAAGTTTTAACTCATAAACCACGTTCAAAGCTCATCAGTGGGGCAGTTTTCTCCTTTCACAGAATCCCAGAATATCCTGAGCTGGAAGGGACCCACCAGGATCATCCAGTCCAAGCCCTGGCCCTGCACAGACACCCCAACAATCCCACCCTGTGCCTGAAAGCATTTTCCAAACATTCCTCAAGCTCTGACAGTCCTGGGACCGTGACCATTCCCTGGGGAGCCTGTTCCAGGAGGACCCTACACTCCAAATCATCTCCAGTCCAGCCACATGACAGTAATTTTTCTGTCTCTCAGACACTCAGGATTTGGAAATGAAAACACAACACTTCCATGCCACAGTGCAGTGACACGATTTGTCCATTGTACCAGCAAAAAACAACTCCTTAATTGTTTATCCTGACGACAACTGCACAAAAGGACACACTGGCTACACTGCTGCACTTGCAGGGTTAGGTATTTGGATCCCTGGAACACATCTGGCACTGTTAGAAGCCACATTTAAGTCAGGTTCTAAATTAAAAATACCATTAAGAGCCTTACCAAGGGGGACTTACCTGAAAGCTGCCAGTAAGGGAGCATAGATGGAGTCTCCATCATACACATACAAGTGGTCCCAGCTGCACTCCGTGGCAAAGTGGTTGAACCGAAGCCTGAGGATTGTGTTTGGCCTGGAAAGAAAAGAAAAATAAACGGATTAATCAAAATAAATAAAGGAAGGAAGGAAAAAAAATAAATGAAAAGATTTGTAATCGGCCAACTCACACACACACAGGGCAAAACACTCCTCCTCTGGTGGGATGCTCTGCTCTAAAGCAGACTAAAACTGAGTGATTTGTGTCACTGCAGATGCATCAAACACGCTGGGGCTTAATTGTTTTGGGTGTGCAGCTCCCCTGGTATTAAGCAACAGGTTCTTTATGGTCAGAAAACAGTGTCCTTAAACCTTTCCCCCTCATCACCAGCAGATGCCAAAGAGCAGGACCAGCCAGCCCTCGGCTCTTCCCTGGTGCTGACTCTGCTAAGGAAAGGGCTTTGAAAGGAAAACCTCCATGGGCAACACATGTGAAGAATCCCAGCCCCCACCAGGGAATTAAGGAGAGCTCTTTCCTTGTTCAAGGGACTTTCTGCAGGCTGGTGTGGTTATGATGGTCTGAGATGATGGATTTGCCCAGGAGTTGGTACCAATCCTTCTCCTCTTACTTTATTAGTTGTGCCGAACACACGGCCCTCCCGAGGGAAGCCCCTCCAAACTGCACATCCAAACAAGTCAAAAGTCCCTCT